GGCGGGTGGATTCCCTACCACTGAGTCACCCGGGAAGCCCCTTTACCATGATCACATAAGACTGATGGGAACAGAAACAGAGCTGTCCTTAACACAACTATGTGAGAACGACTTTCATTAAACAATGCAGAAGGGGTGCTTGACTTCTCAAAGCCATGCCATAGATGAGTTAAACAATGACTTGTTCTGGCTATTTCGTTCATGCTTTGCTGTCACACAATGAGAAGATCACAGCACAGAAGTTTGGATCATTCAAAGAAATGCCACTGCATGTTCTGAAAACTTAGGTGTGGTTAAACCACACAGCTCTTTCATTCTCACTTCTCATCTTGGGGAAGAAGCAACACGACCGTTTCTCAGATACCCCCCGTTTGCACTTTCCTTTTAGCAGCTGGAGCTACTCTATTCTGAAGTTCAGAAATTGTGCAAAACAAATGCATAAAGTGCTCTAATGTCGTGTGCAAATTCCATTTAAAAAAGATTTCCACTGAGCCAGGAGAACCTGAAGGAGAAGGCTGATTTCAAGATAAGATATGCATCTGAAAGCAGAAGTGCCTTCAGGTCGTCTCAGGTCAAGGCCAAAGCGTGGACAAGAGATACGCACTGGCAGCAGAGAAGGAAAGAGGAGAGGCTAGCTGGACGGGGGGAGAGCTGGGAAATGAAGGGGAGCAGGTTTTGGGGTGTCCTGACTGTTTTCGATCATTTCAGGCCTTTCATCTTCTGCTTTTTGCACACAATTTGTACTTTACTACCATATAAATGTGACAAAATGTGACATCAAAACAGCCTATGATGTTGGTACAGAATCATTCCAAGGGCACAGGACCTGGCGACAAAAGCAAAGGCAGAAAAACAATAACTCGAGACACCCACTGTCCACCCCTCATACTAGTGAAGAGCTGAAACTCTGGGGGGAAAGTCAAATGAAAGGAAAGCAAGGCAGTTGCTTAGGACTAAAATTAGCCTTATCAGCTATTAGGAGTCAGTGCGTGTGTGCTTCCTTTCCTGGAAAACATAAAATGAACAATATCATCTAAGCACCAAGAATCACCTGGCTCCCCAGAGATTTCTCTTAAATCAAGTTTGCACCAAAAAAAAAGTGGGGGGGGGGGGGTTCAAGTTTTGCTTCTTTTGATTTCTAATATTTTTACTCCTATAAGCACTTTTCAAGTTTCAGTATTTAGAAATGGCACGTGTGCCCTCTTGGTGTAATTTGGCTCCTAAACTTTACCTTCTATTGCAAAGTGAACAATAAAAGTCAAGCCTGGCTTAGGTACTTTACAAGCATGTCACATACACTATTATCATGCTTCATCCTCCCAATAGTCATTATAAGCCAATTTTACAGATGGGAAAAAAAAATTGAGGCCCAAAGGCTAGGAACTTCTACAAATCATGGGGCCCTGAGCATGGGTCAGAATTTGAAACTAGATCTTTTAGGTTCCAAAACCAATTAGTTTTGTTGCTTAGTACCTGCCAATGGCCTCTATGAGCTACACTTAGAAACTGTTAGAAAGTCTACTGATTCTGGCCCAACCATTTTTTTAGAAAGTGGACCTTTTCTCGCTGGTATGTACAGAGCACAGTGGTCTCACTACACTGACGATTTAAGGGAGTCTCTCTGATGGATTCAAGGGTGATGGACTCAGCCTAGACACCAAGAGAGCACCCAAGACATTGAGCAGAGTGGTGACTAGTATGCCATCATAATAGCACATAGATATTTCCAATTTCACATAATCAGAGCATATCTTTGAAGCAATTAACAATCACAACCTTTTTTAATAACGGAGAGGCTTGGGGCTGGCTAGGTGTTGAGGTCATTTTCCGAAAAGAATGTGTAAGGACCACTGACAGGCATCTTAAGGGGGATAGGCACACAGACTCTTGCATCTGAGCCTCTAAATCCTCCACCCAGGACAGAGCTAGACATTTAAACCAAAAGAGCAGAGATGACTCATCCAGCCCTGGACCCCATTTAGACAGCAGAGACCATCCTGTGATCCATCCCTCCACTCAGGCCTAGAAATAAACAGAGGCAACTTGAAAAACCATCCACAGACGATTTCCCCAAACATTTGATTGTATAAATAATTTATTTCTGTTCACAGCATCATATACGCATATAAAAGGAAACAGGAACCCAAAGAGGGGGATGATCAGGACAAAGAATTACAGCAGTACAAATGGAAACAAACCAGGAGACAGTCCCAACACCATGACAGAGAATCTGTGAAAGGAATTGTTGTGAAACAAAGCTGGCCTCCCTGTGTCTATCAGAAAACATTTGAAAAGCTCCTGTGGGGAGGCCAAGCTCCTCTATGTGGACCCCATTCATTCTCCAAAGAGCAGGAGGCATAATAAATCACTGACATGTACGCTGGAGGGATCTCCCAAGTGACCACTCCAAGGTAATTTAGCCTGTGCTTCCTGCCCCCATTGGTCAGAGACGAAATGGGCTATCATTAGGGCAAACACTACAGATATCAACTGAGACTCTTAACTATTGGTTGATACACCACAGAGCTTTACTGCACAATTACTAACAGTTGACCGCACCCTTAAGTATTGGTAATGCAAAAAAAAAAAAGTCATTTTGCATCATTGGTAAAGCATGACAGGATCTGAACAGTGATCTTGGACCAAAATATTGTCAGCACGAGGTTACAGTATTTGGCATCTGCAATGTCACAAAATAAATATATTATTCTCTCAATAGTGTGGAACTACCAAAATGTCAAAGTGCTTAAGAAATTGTTGCATGTGAAGAAAATAAAGAAAGATGGATTTTTTTTTTCTTTTAATAATTCTATACAGGATCTTCAGATGACGGGACCAGCCCATTTAGAAATCAGTGACTATGCTGTCGATATGTAAACTGAAACCTTGCAGGCTTTTCAACACTGCTCAGCTATATTTTCTCTACTGAGTTTCTACAAAAAGACCAGCGTTGGAGGGGTACCAAATACACTGACAAAAGAGAAAAGAAAGATGGACTGCTAGGTTTCCTCTTTTAAAATATTTCATAGGAGAACTGGATCAAGCAGGAAGCCAGGACTACTACCTCTGGTTCTTAAATTCACTTTGAGTGCAGGGATTTATTTATAGGCATGGATTTATAATTTGACTAACTCACATGCTCACGCATGACCATGCCCAATTTCTACAGGCCTCCTTCACACAAGAAATGTATCATTGTTCATGGACCGGGGTGGGGGATGGACAGACATAATCCTAATCCTATCTGTAAACATGGGTTTAAAGAAGAAATCAAAATCACACAGTAAGTCTAAGTTTCCCTTTTGATACTGTGTTTGGGGGAGAATGACAGCTTCTGCAAACCAAGACTCAGTCCTGATTATAAAGGATTTTTTAAATTACATTATTAAAAATAGGTATTTCTTCTTCTTTCACTTTATTTCCAAAGCCTCTTTCAAGTAAACTGTGAGGAGCCTGAGGACAGGTGACCATTACGTCACACGCTTTCTTTCATCCCAAGCGCTCACCGTGTCTGCATTTGCTCTGCAACCAGTTTCCACAAGCAGGAATCAGGAAGGACCTCCTTGTGCTTTTCCCTCGCCTTGAAATCCATGCAATGAGGTCGGTCGGCTTTTGCAACAAGGTGGACTTTTGTCTGTTGGTGTGTAACATCAAATACTCTAAGGAGACATTTGCAATGAAAATACTTAAACCAAATAGGCCACAATGAACCAAATTAGAAATTTGAACATATCGCCACTTGCAGCTTAAAGGGATCTAATAGGGCAAAGTCTTCTTTTTCCCCTAAATTGAGCATTTCTATGGGGAGTATTCATTCGTAGCAGATTTTTTTTAAGAAAAAAAAAATTGTCTGAAAACCATAACCCATCATCAAGCGGTTAGGAGTACAAGAGACACTCCGTGCCAAAACCCGCTTGTCATTCAGCACACATCTGCAGCTGGTGTGTTCACACAAACCAATCAGCAGGCTACAAAAAAAAATTATTGAAGATTCCACACATATGGGTCTAGAAACGTATGCCGATTACACAGCACTGTATCTACACACACCCCATCCAGCATTGACGTCAGGAGTCTTACCCTTTAAACACCTTTAACTATTCTGCAAAGAGTAAATGCATCATTTGCCACCACCTCCAACAGTTTCTGGGTTTTAATTTTTTTTTATTGGTCTCTTTGTGTGATAATGACCTACACATGGACAGGGTCCAAACCATCTGGAAGATGTCTGATTCCAGGCTGAAAAGCAGTTCTCAACAAAACTGGTCTTCTGAAGCTACCACAAAGCACCAGGAAAGGGGCGTTCTTCGCGGCCATCCCCCAGCCCAGGCCAGCGCAGCGCCCCCGCGCCTTCCGGCTGCGGTACTGTTCCACGGAGTCCTCTGATGGCCCAAACCACCACCTCGTTTGGGCCCAGAGCAGGGCAAATGGATTTTCACAGGGGCCTGCCCTGTGACATAAAATTATCCAGCTTTCACAGCCCAAGGAGAGGCTATCCCCCCAGCACCTCCCACTGCCACCGTGCCCCCAGATGGGAACTCCTGGGGTTCTGGGAACCGCATACCTCAGGTAGCTCACAGGTGCGATCCCCAGTGAGGGCGGGGAAGCCTGAACTTCTGGCCCTGCTGGAGTAGGAGGAAATCGCTTTTGTCTCTGATATCTGAGCCTTCCAACCTGGGCCAGCAGGGCGGACGGTGGGACCTGCACGTCCACTCCCCAGCCGGGTCCCCCACCCCCTGAGTAGCTCCGGCGTTCAGACAAAAGGACCCCTGAGCTGGGGGTGGGGGGCAGGTCGAGCGCAGGCTGGCCAGCTTGCCTACATACCCAGGTTAAGTCACCAGTCCTGCATGCCGGTGCAGAGACTCCGCTTTAAAAATTCGAAGCGTCGCTTTGGTTCGCTGTCTTTGTTCGCGGGCGCGCGGGCCACCCAGTCTCTCATTCATTCATTCCGGACTCGCTCGCTCCCCGCGCCTAGCTCCGGAACATCGCCGTCCGGCGCATTACCGCTTCTTCTTCTGCTTGAGGGACTTCCTGCGTTTCAGGATCATCTCGTAGAGCTTGTCCATGCCCTCGGTGAGGCCCTCGCCGATGATGGCGCACGCCGGCTGGACGTGGTAGGTGGTGGCCGGGATGAGCTCGTGCAACGCCAGCTGCTTCTCGATCTCCGCCACGGGCAGCGATTTGGGCAGGTCCTGCTTGTTGGCGATGACCAGCAGCGGCGTGCCCTGGTTCTCGGCGAACTTGGTCACCTTGTGCAGCTCCGTCTTGGCCTCCTCCAGCCGGTCCACGTCCACCGAGTCCACCACGTAGATGATGCCGTCCGTGCAGCGGCTGTAGGACTTCCACAGCGGCCGAAGCTTCTCCTGGCCGCCCACGTCCCAGAAGTGGCAGCTGATGCCCTTGGCCGTGCCGTTGCTCAGCTTGATCTTCTCCGTGTTGAAGCCGATGGTGGGCACGGTGTTCACGAACTCGTTGAACTTGAGCCGGTAGAGCACCGTGGTCTTGCCGGCCGAGTCCAAGCCCAGCATGACGATGTGCAGGGACTGGAAGGCCGAGATGTTGGAGGAGATGTTGCCCATGGCTCCTCGCTGCGGCGCCGGCCACTGCGGCTGCGGCGGGAGGGCGCCGCCCCCCGCCCTCCCGAGCAGTTACGGGCTCGACGCGGGCGGGCGCACCTGGGCCCCGCCTGCCGCCCTCAGCCGCCGGCACGGGCCCGGGCTCGGAGTCCCCGAAGCGCACGGCTCGGGGCGCTCAGACGCCGCGACCCCCGCGCCCGCGCCGGCCGGGCATTGCCTCGCTCTCGATGGGCTTTGTCTCCCGCGAAGCCTCCTCCGCTGCGGCGCCGCGGGCTGCTCGCGCCCGTCGCCCTCCCCCGCCGGCCCCGGCTCTCTGCGGCTTCCTCGGGCCGCGCCCCCGCGCTCCAGCCGCTGCCCTGGCTCTCCGCTGCTGCCGGTTCCGGGCTCCGAGCGCCCAGCGCTCGCCTCTGTTTGGGCGGCGCCGCCGCGGGGCCAATCCCACTCCCAGGGCGCGCCTCGGAGGCGCAGGCGGGGCGTGGGCTTCCCCGGGCTTCGCTGCCGGCGCGGCCGCCTGGCTGTCCCCGCAGTCCCCGCGTCGCCGCCGCCGCCGCCGCCGCCAGCCTGCAGCGGTGGGAGGGCGCCCGGCTCCGCCCCTCGGAGGCCCCGCCCTCATCCCGCCCCTTCTTGGACCCTCGCCCCGCCCCGCCCGGACGGCCCCGCCCCGGGTCGGGCGTGGACCTCCCAGCCCGGCGGGCCGCTTTCCCGCCTTTCAGAGCTTTCGAAATAGCCCTGGGCGTCTCCTCCCGCCCCGCACCCGGATAATGGACCCCCGAGCCGCAGGCTCTTTCCGCCTCGGCCCTCTGACGCATCTTGTAAAAATAGCTCCCGGAACTCCACTCCCCGCCAGCCCCAGGCCGGACCGACTGCCCGGCGGGACTGCAGCGCGGGAGGCGCAGCCGGCCTGCGGGAGCGAGGGCCAGGGGTCCAGAGTCCAGGTCAAGGCAGGCCTGGGAAGCTCTGGCCGAGGGACTGGGGACCATCCGAGGTAGGGGTGGGGTGAGAGTGCCCCGCTGAGAAGAGAGGGCTATGGCTGAGGCCTCGTGACCCCCAGACTCCCCCACCCAGGAGAGGGGAAAGGAGGGCGTGGGCCTCAAGGAGCCAGCCCGGGCACGTGGCCTTTGCGGTGCCCAGGACCCTGACCCTCCCTGGTACCCTGGCTGGCTTCCCTGCCAGGGCTCCGGTGGGGGCGCTCCACGGGATCACCGCTGCTCTGGGGCCCACGCCCGTGCCCAGATCGCCCCGGAGGCCTGGCTTCGTTTGAGGAGACTTGTCTGCCTCCCCAGTTAGCTCCGACGACTCACCAACCCCAGACAGCTCCTCTGCTACCTTGTTTTTGTTCCCAGCGTCTGCGCGGACATCCCAGGTCAAGTGTTAGCATCTCAGGAGAGCACCTTCTACCACCCACGGTACTTTGAGGACTGAGAACCACCTGCCCACAAGTGAACCACTCCTCCTGCCACTGGTGCTCCAGGTGCATTTGGGCCTGAAACAGAACTGTGTCAGCAGCTCAGAGTAGGTTGCACCATAGGTCACAGACACCAGTACCCAGCCCCTGGCAGGCTTCTCCCATCTCTCCAGTTCAGTGCTCTGTTTCTAGTTTGTAAGCACATAATCAAGGCTTATCCTCTCAGGGTGCAGAGGAAACTGAGCGAACCGGGGCTCTGGAGGAGGAGGAGCAGAGGCAGTATGGACAGGGGCTTCTTCCCAACTCCAGCTTATGAGGCAGGAAGAGGGAATGGGGTCTAGGGGGATGGAAATGAGCCTGATAACCATTGATGGGTGAAAACCAAATTATTATAGAAATGCTTTCCTTTACCACCTTCCTTTCACAAGCTGTGATAAAATAGGTGATTTTACTTGTATTGAACCATATGAGAAGACTGTGTTGATGGCAGAACCAACCATCCCTCCTTTGGGGACTCCCCAGGTGGCAGCAACCACTCAGACTGGTCCAGGGCTGGAAAAGTCCTAGTGGATCCTTCTATCCAACCTGCCGGATGAGGAAACCAAGGCTCGGGCACTTGACTTGGCCAGGGTAGAACCTACTTGCAGACGGCCTTCTCCCCACCCAGTTTTATTCATGCCAGGAGCTGAGGGCTTGCTGCTCTCTCCCACTCCCCACACTCCCCACACACTAAGTTAACAGGGAATGAAGTTGTAAGCAACCTGAATTCAGTTGTGAAAGACAAAAATTCCATTCAAATTGCCAACATCCGTTGGATCATAAAAAAAGCAAGAGAATTCCATAAAAACATCTACTCCTGCTTCATTGACTACAAAGTCTTTGACTCTGTGGATCACAACAAACTGTGGAAAATTCTTAAAGATGTGCAAACACCAGACCACCTGACCTGTATCCTGAGAAACCTGTGTGCAGGACAAGAAGCAACAGTTAGAATGAGACATGGAACAACATACTGGTTCAAAACTGGGAGAGGAGTACGTGAAGGTTGTATACTGTCACCCTGCTTATTTAACTTACATGCAGAGGACATCATGAGAAATGCCAGGCTGGATGAAGCACAAGCTGGAATCAAGACTGTAGGGAGAAATATCAATAACCTCAGATATGCAGATGACACCTCCCTTATGGCAGAAAGCGAACAGGAACTAATGAGCCTCTTGGTGAAAGTGAAAGAGGAGAGTGAAAAATCTGGCTTGAAACTCAATAATCAAAAAACAAAGATCATGGCATCCGGTCCCACCACTTCATGGTAAGTAGATGGGGAAACAGTGGGAACAGTGGCAGATTTTATTTTCTTGGGCTCCAAAATCACTGCAGCCATGAAATGAAGACACTTGCTCCTTGAAAGAAAATCTGTGGCAAATCTAGATGGTGCATTAAAAAGAAGAGATATTACTTTGCTTACAAAGGTCTGTCTAGTCAAAGCAATGGTTTTCCCAGTAGCCATGTATGGATGTGAGAGTTGGACCTATGGTCAGAAGGCTGAGCACTGAAGAATTTTATGCTTTCAAACTGTGGTGCTGGAGAAGACTCTTGAGGGTCCCTTGGACTGCAAGGAGATCAAACCAGTCAATCTTAAAGGAAATCAACCCTGAATATTCATTGGAAAGACTGATGCTAAGCTGAAGCTCCAATCTTTGGCCACCTGATGCAAGGAGCTGACTCATTGGAAAAGACCCTGATGCTGGAAAAGATTGAAGGCAGGAGGAAAAGGGGACCACCACAGAGGATGAGATGGCTTGATAGCTGATTCAATGGACATGAGTTTGAGCAAACTCCGGCAGATGGTGAAGGACAGGGAAGCCTCGTGTAATGCAGTCCATGGGGTCGCAAAGAGTCAGACATGACTGAGCGACTGAACAACAGATTGACTGACACAATGGAAAAGTTCATGATTATGATGCCATTTAGACGTGTCTAGAAGCCATGGATCTCAGATGTCCTTAGATCAGTCTCTCTGTCTCCTGTTTTCCTCTGCATCGATCCGTTTTTCCTACTGGCAGGTCTGGGTTCACATCCTTGGTGTATATCCTAGAGAGAAAATGGTGGATCTCTTTCCCAGTAACTGAGACTAGAGCCTGGAGGACATATCCCTCTGACCTGTCTGGCCCAGCCCTGTATCAGGTACTACTGCCCAGAAGGAGGGAGCATGCCCATGGCTGGGGCCCAGAGGCTAAACCTGGGGAGGGGTGGTCCCCAAAGAAGAATCAGCCTTCTATCTGCTCTCCAAAGGGCTAATAGGAGTGAGTAAGCAAAAATAACAGATGTCAGTGTGATTTATAATGATTTCATTTCAGTTATTGGGAACCCTGGGAAGACAGGATTTTGTTTTCCAAGTGATTTTCCTGGCTCTCTTCAAAACCTAATTCCTAGATAGCCACCTTCTCAAGAGACTGTCTTCTCTCTCCTTTCTCTGCTACAGACAGGGCGTAGCCTGGGTGCCAGCCTGAGACCAGACTTAGATTAGTAGCCTGGGACCTGGGCCTCTGGATAAAGACAGATCAGACTAGAACATTCTCTATCTGGCTCTCACAAATGATCTTCCTGTGGACTCCTTTCTCTTATTTGCATCTCTCCCTGTCATGTCTAGCATTTATTTTAAGGATAGTAGGAGGGCAGTATTTGAGTAAAACATCGATGTGTTTTCTTGGGTTTGTGCTAATTACAGCTAGTGTGGTTTTGACTGCAGCCCCCACACTTTGCACCATTGTGGGGTTTAGTAATAAAGGGCTGTCTGTTGTCCAGTAGAAAAAGTAGATTAATAGACATTAATAGAGCCTTCCAGAACAGGGCCATTAAACAGCAACTCACCGTAATTGAATAGCAACCATACTACAGTCTAATTTCACTCACCAGGTGATAAGTTGAATTTACAGTGGATACTTTAACTTCTAACACATAAAAATGCCATTTAGCTGAATCAACTTTCTTTCCGATACAAATTTCAATGGAAAAACCTTGGAATTATGAGACAGAAAGTAATGTTTACCACGATGTCAGAAATGCAAGGCCCACTTTGAACATAGTGACACGGCTATGGTCTGGGCCGTGTGGACAGATTGAGTGGGTGCTATACATGTCCCATCATGTTCCAGCCACGTGGTAGTACCTAGGTTACCATTTCTTGAGTGCCCCATTTCTAAAACCTACCTAACACTTGTGGTTGTTGTGAAGGTGAAATGAAGTAATACATGTCAAGTGTTTGGCGTGGTACTTGGCACACCATGTGGGTTTCCCTTGCGACTCAGCGGTAAAGAATCCACCTGCAATGCAGGAGACATGTGTTCAATTCCTGGGTCAGGAAGGTCTCCTGAAGAAGAAAATGGTGGTAGCAGTAGCAGTAGCATTATTTGCTTAGTAGTAGTGTTATGCCGACGGATGGGGCCCAGAGGCTAAAAATGTAGTAGTGTTAAGCATTAAGTAGTAGTGTTCGTCCGACTGTTTGTGACCCCAAGGACTGCAGCCCACCAGGCTTCTCTGTCCATGGAATTCTCCAGGCAAGAATCCTGAAGTGGGAAGCCATTCCCTTCTCCAGGGGATCTTCCCAACCCAGTGATTGAACCTGGGTCTTCCACATCACAGGCAGATCCTTTACTATCTGAGTCACCGGGGAAACCCACAGGAAATGGCAACCACTCCAGTATTTTGCCTGGGGACATCCGTGGACAGAGGAGCCGGGCAGGCTAGAGTCCATGGGGCTGCGAAAGAGTCGGACACGACTTAGTGACTAAGCGTGCACGCCCTGGTACACAGTAAGTAAGCTCTGTAAAGGTTACCTGTGATACCTGCAAAAAAAGAAGAAAGAAAGAAAAGCAGTTTTATAACGGGCATAGCTGTTTGAATCTCAATGGTTGCCAAAACACTGGCTGCAGTGTGCTACTTTCTTCATTTTAATCACAGTAAGACGTTTCTCAAAGAATGACGTGCACTTGTGACCTTGCCTGAGATGAGTTTCACATCCAGCAGCATCAATATTTCCTTTCCTTTTCATCTGCATCAAAATGCTTCTACATCCAGAAAAGGACTCAGTTCCAGTAAACAGAATGCAGTGATTCTGAAATTGTAAACTGTTCTCTCTTTTTTTTTCCTTGAAGGGCTTAGAAATCAAGTGTGCCACCAATTAAAACAAATTTTGAGTCTATCCAGTGAAGAGAGCAATATATTTCAGCATTATTATTTTTGGCTTAGGAAAGATCATGACATAAGATGCAAAGGTGAGCATCCCATCCACAGTTGAGTGTGGCTACTGTGACTCAGATGGTAAAAGAATCCACCTGCAGTGTAGGACACCCGGGTTGGATCCCTGGGTTAGGAAGATCCCCTGGAGAAGGGAATGGCAACCCACTCCAGTATTCTTGCCTGGAGAATTCCTTGGACAGAGGAGCCTGGCGGTCTACAGTTCATGGTATTGCAAAGAGTCAGATATGACTGAGTGACTCACAGTTCTCCACTTTCACAAGGATAAATATCGGAACAGGGTTGTGTGTCCACAAGCATAGAGTGTGTGTGATTATTTGCTTTTTCTGATTGGATCCCTGGGTTCAGGTTCACGGCCTCCTATTCTTAACTATCATAATACAGGAGTGCCCTCTACTGAGCTTCTTGTATAAGAGATGAACGCCTCCAGAGGCTGATTTGCCTCTTGCCTCGTGCCTAGTAAATGTTCCATCCATATGTATTGAATGAATGGAGGGATACTTGAACCTGATTCTCTGGGGCTGTGGGACTAGATCTCTTAGAGCCCCATGTGTTAAACTGAGAAAGTGCTTCTTTTTGGGGCTCAGAGCTTGGAGGTGTCGATTCTCAGGTGCAGATTCGGGTCTTGTCTCCAGGGCAGAGTAGGAGAGTTTATTATTGACCAAGACTGGGGACCAGGAGCCT